TGATTGGACAAAAAATGAATCTCTGAAAATACTTACTGTGACCAAACCTGAAGTACCTTTTAATGAAACTCATATCTTAATCCAACAACAAAACTTGTTAAAATTCTCACATCATTCATTACACTAAATAAATTACTGAGTTTCCTCTATAAGGTGATGAAACACCATATGACGTCACGGTTGATATCACGTGGTCAAAAATGACGAATAAACACATAAGTGTTCTTCGTTATCCCGGCACTTGACAACAATATTATCTCTAGACTGATATTTCGTTATGAACCGCAATACTTCGGGCTCCATTCCCACCTCTTACGAACGACGTAGTAACCTAAAAATAATATAACATGACCAATTTTGTTCTCTGATTAAAAAAGTTATGTTTGATGTTCATATCTAACTTCGTTTAATTTCGGAAAATGTGATATCATGCTGAGCAGGTTAAACAGTATGTATTACAGGGGTGGCCAGAAGTAAAAAATAAAATAAAAAATCAGAGAACTGTACACTTGATTTTTTTGACAATGTGTAAAAATTATAGTATGTACAACATTGAAAGCAACACCGGCGTTTAGTATGAGTATGTACAACATTGAAGGCAGCACCGGCGTTTAGTATGAGTATGTACAACATTGAAGGCAGCACCGGCGTTTAGTATGAGCAAGAAAAGCTTCTCTTTACATCCACGATCTATTCCATACGTTTTATTTATTTCAGACAAAATAATTACACAATTAAAGATAATGATACGGATTTCGCTCTACAATTTTAAAGTACAAAAAAGACAGTTTTCATTAGCACTCACATGATTTATACGTAAACCGATCATAAAAACAAAGAAATGGCGTTCACACCATAACAATTGTTGTTCTCACAAATGGCTTTATTTATAATGTTCTGCACACGACTGTGCGTGTTGTATCCCAGCTGGCCTGATGAGCTCTGTATTGAGCGAAACGCGTCGTTGGAAATGGTTTGTTTGTTTGTTTTTGAATTTCGCGCAAAGCTACACGAGGGCTATCTGCGCTAGCCGTCCCT